ATGGAAAAGAACTCAAACCTACGTGTTATCAAATACACCCAACAATATCTGGTATGATCATCAATAAAAGAAACATAATATCTAGAACCCCCCCTTTAATAGCAATAGGAACTGGTTCCCAAATATCAAAATATACAAGATCAAATTGTGCAAAAGAACGAGAATTACTTTTACTGAAAGATAGTGCAGTAAATTTAACCAACTTGCAACCACTATAATTTGAAATATCATGACCCTCTAAACTACCTAAACTATAAGTAGAAACAAAAAATTTTAAACAAGAATGAGAAACATGGCCTAAACGAGAATGCCATAAATAAAACCTAGACGATTTTGGAATCAATTGAAAAGAAGATAAATCAATAGTAGATGCAACAACTTCAGGGACATAAAGCTTGTCCAACACATATAGCCCTCCATTTCTATGGCCTGTCCTAATTAGCTTCTTAAACCGTGAATCTTGCACAAGACAACCAATAGAAGAAAAGTGAACTAAAAATCCCGAATCAAACAACTGACTAATAGATATTAAATTTAAAATAAGTTGAGGAATATAGTAGATATCAAGAAGTGTAAGCTGGGAAGACACGATAGTTCCAACACCAGCCAAAGACATTTGGGTGTCATTGGCTATAAGGACAAATATAGAGGTAGGAGAAGCAATAGAAACAAATAAGGAAGAATTACTAGTCATATGATGGGTGGCTCTAGAATCAAAGACCCAAGCAGTTCAAGAGACACCTGAAGGACCTGTAATAAGTGAACCTATGGAGAGAGAAACTAATGGGGCACCTGGTTGATGAAGGGAAATAAACTTCTGCAACTGATCAGCTATCATAGTCATGCTGGGAGCTAATGGGAATGTCACATCCACCGATTAAATAGCTACAATTGTATGACGATCTTTGGGCTTAAAAGGCTGATGTAAGGCCCCCTTGACATTCTTTTTCACCAATTTAGAACATTGAACCTTCTAGTGACCCTTCTCACAATAAAAACTACACTCATCTAAAACAGCTCGACTCCGATATTTAGTCTGCGAGTGAGAAGTCCCTTTGGATGGTACAGCCAGTAAAGTCTGATTAGGCAATGGAAGAAAATCCTTTCCAAAAAGAGTCTTAAGACGAATTTCTTCAGACAGAAACTCATTCAATACTGCATCAACTATAGGAAGTGGGAGACGATGGAGAATAGAATAACGAAGACCCTCAAAGTCATCTCTAAGAGTCATCAAAAACTGTACCAATCGCTGCTCCTCCCTAAAGGTACGATATACCATATGAGTACTCAATTCAGTAGGTTCAGCAAGTGCTAACTGATCCCAAAATTCAGTCATAATCGAGTAGAACTCTTGTATGGTCTTATCACCCTGACGTGCAATTCGAGTTTTATGCCAAGCTGATATCTCTTTGTAAAATTGGACTAAACAAACAATGTAGCTAAATAATTCCAAATCTCTTTGATTGTGTTAAACTTAGTCAAATGCACACTAATGGTCTGATCAATTGAGTTGTTAATCTAAGTGATGATTTTAGCATTGTTGACTTCCCAGGTATTCTTTAAGTTAGCATATTTATCTGTCTTTGAATCTGTTGGAACTTGCAAAGTACCACTAACATAACTCCACATCTCTTTCCCCAACTAGAAATTTTTCATAACATAAGACCAATATGCTAGAATATATTAAATATTAACACCCACATGTTACAGATATTCTCCATTGATAAATATTAACACCCGCATATTACAGAATTCCTTCTTTGAGGACATCAGCATTAATACTCGACATGCACAAAGACCAAGCATAAATATGTAATTTCGAGTGGAGCTTTGTATAATCAAAGCTTTTGGTTATTTTGTGTCTTCTTATACAAATTTTAGAATTCGTACGCCGATAGAAACATTTTACTTTTATTTCATTATTTTGGGGACTCAAGGTATTTAGGTAATTTGAATAATTGCAAGACAGGTATGGTACTTCTACCCCACGGGTTTTATTGTATTTTGTAGCCCATGTGTCTTATAAAGGGTTAAGTAATCTATTTGGATCATACTAGGTGGGCTTCAACAGAGATATATAAATCTAGTGTTCTTAGTCCTAAATGGCCACCAAATATAACATGATCTCCAAGTTTACTTTCCTCCAACTTCACTTGGTCCTANGTTCTCAGTCCTAAATGGCCACCAAATATAACATGATCTCCAAGTTTACTTGCCTCCAACTTCACTTGGTCCTCAAGCACCTATATTATGTCTTAGCTCCTTTTTGAAATAGCGAGTGAAGACTCACTATGAATGACTTCCTATTTTTTCTATGATGTGTTGTGTGTCATCTTTTGGTATGAATGCCTACGAGTTGCTGCAATATTAAGGGNTATGAATGACTTCCTATTTTTTCTATGATGTGTTGTGTGTCATCTTTTGGTATGAATGCCTACGAGTTGATGCAATATTAAGGGATAATCCAGCGGAATTACAGATGAATTTCCAGAGTTTTCTCGACCACTAATGATAGGGATTTCTAAGTGGGAATTACAGTCTTCTCAACCTTACCTTAGGGTGTCATTCCTAGGATGTTCTAGACAGGATTGCTAGATTCTTAATCTCCTACTTTCTTATTCTCTAAACACTGCCATATCAAGCTCTACCCAAGCCCAACTTTTCTCCTAACCTTTTGACCTTCAATACAACACTTAAACACCATAATTAGTCGCTCTCCACAACCTCCGGCACCTAATTTTCTGCAATTCCTACAGCCAAACCCATCTAAAATCGAGCCAATTTCGATTCATTCTTATCCCTAATCCTATCATCACCCTGTTCTAGTTCTAGTTAATAAAACGACAAGTGTACAAGCTTTCCATGACCTACGTCCACCACCAAAACAATCATCCTGCACTGGTTGAGCTGAAGGAAACGTGTACACTTTTTGGTTCGATAGGAAAAAAAATTCTAAAGAGCTAAATTTTGTTATTGAAAATGTACGGTCCTGTTTTTTTAAATACTGGATCATCAAGGACGTAAAGGCAAATGATAAACCAAAAATACTACACCAAGCTAGATTGTCTTGTGAAGGACGCAGGAGTTGATTGACGAAGAAATATTATGATAAAAGAAGAGGACTAGAGATTGTCAAAAACTGCTAGAATAATCTTTTTGTTAAACACACGGACGTTGGCTTAAAGAATTTTCACAACTGAAGCTTTCGGGAATTGTGAGATGCAACACTAACCTTGGGTGTGATGCCCAAAGGACTCTAAGTAGTTGCTAGAATCTTGATTTATCTTCTTTTTCTTCCTTCTTCTCTTAAATCTAAATTGTATTTCCCATAATCCCAATCCTCTCCCTACATTAAAGCATTTTCTCTATCACTAAGTTGAATTTCCAGCAACATATTGCCTATGTCTCTTCCCATCTTCAATCATTCAAGATCAACAACATAAAGAACAACCACAGCCCTAATTAGAGTCCACAAGTATTGTTCATGACAAAGAGAAGATCCAACAAATTGTCTTCCCTAGCGTAATTATTACCTCAAAACCTTACCTATTCCATACACCTAGTCACCTACCCAATACCTTCATCAAATTCCAGTCCAAGGAAAGCCAAAAAAAATCAGCCCTCACAAATGGTCTTTTCCCAATGCCTTCTATCAATTGTGGTAACCATAACTGGTAAGGGAGTGTTTCATCACAATTTCGCCACATCAATCTAGCTGGAATCTCCTAAAAGTGTGAGAAACAGTCTCCTACAAAAATTTCGACATTCAGATATGCATAAGAACATATCTTTAAGGACAAGTATAGAATTTTAATTTAACTATATGCCAAATCAACAATTGAAATAAGGGGAAGATGAAGCTCAACAGGCACCACGTGCATATTATATGCCCTATATTATCAGCAACAGCTATCTTATATTTTTATCTCTTCTAAGCAGAAAATTTCCAGTTATATCATACACTGATAGCCCCGTGTACAATACCAATTAAAGGAAGAAACAGAAAAGAATTAAGCAAACAGAAATTTTCCAGTTATGTCTTACACTTATGGCCCCTTGTAAAATACCAATTAAAGGTAGAAATAGAAAATAACTAATCAAAAGTGCATATCCAAAGCAGGGACACCAACTTTTAGGTAAGTTTCTATATGCGTTCCCATGTTTCTCGTGTTACGAATAAATAATACGACATCATGTTGGACAAGTTGGCGGTTCGGTTTCAAAAACCAAGTTGCATAAGCACACATAACGGGGATATCAGGGAGCATACCCAAAGGATAAAGGACATATCAGACATGAAATAATGTGATTGGGACCATTCTTGATCAAGTTTTGGGTTACGTCACTATCATAGTTGTATACATTAAGATTGGTGAATGAGCAAATCATGTACACAAAAGCGACTTTGATCTTTATTATGGATACTTTCCATCAGCCATTAGTTCAAACTTCAAATGGTTTACAATGCTAGTCAAGATGATGGGTAAGAACTGTTTTGCTCCAAATAGTAATAAATGAAAACTTAGCAACTGGCATTATGACAAGTTAGAATGAATCAGACCAACGATTGTATCGTACTAAATCAAGAAAGTGACAATATGGGGAAGGCCTTTGATTCAAATTTACGTATATAGTGGACTATAACCAAAGATAAACCAAGTAAGGAAAAAGAAAAGCAAACAATTAGACCTGTTTAAAGATTCTGAGACTTCTATCATAGTGACAGCTTGAACAAGGAAAGGCATAATAATTCCTTAACATCTGATACAGAACTGTCCCTTAAACTAAAAATGAATTAGCTAAAAAATGTAGACTGCCGTAAAAACTTTAGGACTAAAACTACTAATGGGTTAAAAAAAATTAAAAATGGAAGAGAGGGAGAAAGAGAGAGGTGAAAGAAATCAAGGAGCATTTCTTGTTAAGCCGTGAAGAGAAGAAAGAGGAAAAATAGTTGGGATGTGGATTCAATAGCATTTTAACATAATGTCAGAATGGATGGACTAAGAATGAGGTGCTGACACAGCAGATGCAGTTTTCTTGTCCCCTATCTAGATGAGACCAGCAATTTTACATTAAAGAAGCAAATATGTCTGGACTCTGGTCTGGACCAGGGCCCAAACCAAAAAATAGGTGCTGACACAGCAGGAAAGGTTTCTTTGCTCTAAACCATATCAGAGCAACATAAGTAAAACTCACTTAAGATTATCTAAGCCAATAAAATCGTAGATACAAAGTATAGACTGTGGATATTTAGATCTGCAGATGATCACAGACAACTGTTTGATTTAGTTAAGATGAATTAATCTACTATGGCCAAACAAGAGTTCAACTTCAGTGTGCAACACCATAAATAGGGTTCTAAAACCCCTCGTGGTAAGTTTTCCAGTAGTAAGGGGGGAAAAGAAGAAGTATAATTTCTATTGAAACAAAATACCCTTTTGTGGAAAGAATGATAAAGAAATGCAGTACAACTTGCACTTACTTGTTCCCTTGCAAATGCCTCTGCCCCATCAAATGCAAGATATATGTGAGGAGTTTTCTCCATGACCAGTCTTGCCAGAGAGATGGCATTAACAACAGTGGTGAGACCAGAAACAGCTCCACATTTCTTTGAATTACCATCCATGATGCATGCTTCCATTTCAACAGTGCCTTTGCTGGTCAGCACGGATCCTTTACCAGCATTGAAGTGCGAATTGTTTTCTAGTTCACGTACCTGCACCGTCCAGTTTTGTTAAAAGCAGGACATTTTATACACCGGAAATAACAATTACAATCAACCAAAGAGGATAGCTAAAGGCCCCTGACTAGTATAAGATACAGTGATATTAAGCTTCCCAAGCTAGCATATGTCTAGAGCCAGCTCTATCTCACCCTGGGAAAGTAAGAGCCACTAAGATGCGTATTTGTCTGACACATTTTCAAACAGTAAACTGAGGTAATATATAGATCAACGAAAAATTTCAATGAGGACAGTTCCACTCAATTCCAATCCAGGTTACTCCCTGTTTCCTTGTCTTATCATCATTCTTAATCAACTAAACCCCATTCCATCAAGAACCCAAGTCATGCAAGTATACAGAAACACTATCTGGAAAAGATCTGTGACGAGATTTCGTAAAATGGAATTGATGGGGGTGCAAGAAAAACTATAGGCCGTGACGAGGTTGTCGAAGCAAAATTGTCGGACAGATGCCATGAAACACAGAACACTATTCATCTTGAGTTCCATCTTCACTCAATGACATCAACAAAATATATCCTCTCCAAACAAAACAAAAAAGAATAGATAAAACTTACGTTGTACCTCTTTTCAGGGTGAGAAGTAAAGCTTTAATAGTTGGTATTTTTCCCTTCAACATTTAACATCCGTGAACTAAATGAACATTTGAGAACACCAAAAAATTAATACGAAAAGAAATGAATCTTCTTGCCTCATCTACCAGTAGTTCCTCAGAAAGATGATTTGTTAAATATAGGATCCAGTTTCACAATAAAGGAAGCATCAAAACCTCTGACCCAAAATTGTGACTCGCACCATCATCATTCACTAATATTTAACATTATTTGTCTTGCCTTTAATCTGTCATTGTAGAAGCATCATTGTCACCTCTAATTCAAAAGCTCAGACTCCATCAGTCAATTGGTCAATACCCAAACAAATAAAGAAATGAACACAAAAAAAACAAGCACATGGTGTTGCCAGTGATTACAAGTTCAAGTCTTAAATCTAGGAGTAGTAACAACATTAAAAATGACGCACAAAGAATGCTTCATGACATTCCCATGAACATAAAATTCCTCCCCTTAAACTTTATTAGACCTCAACTTGGCAAAAATTCTTTGGTTTTTTTTGAAAACCCAAAAGCGCTTTTTGGCTTAAAACAATCATCTCTAAAACATTAGCATGACATCACCTAGATCCCATGCTTAAATCAATAAACTTAAAACCTTTTCAAAATTCTATCATCATCAGTCTGGCTTCCATATGCTCCATTATTGAAATTTCTCATATTGAACTGAGAAACAAAAGAGTGACGCCTAATACACGAGGTAGAAACTTTATTTCCACACACACATACATATAATAACTCCCATAAAAAATTCAAGGATAACACTAAGTTGTGGGTTCGAATCTAGAGGCGACACTTTGTGCAAATAATATGAAATTCAAAGTTCATAGTCAGTCCACCCTCTCTCATCAACCCCTCCCATCACTATTAATTACCAATCAATCAAATCAATAAATGTCATCTTTATATAACACCTAAAAACTATAGTAAGGATGGATTAACAAAGAAGATAATTTAATCTATACATTGGTTTGAAAGAGGGTCAAAATAACTCCTTAATCAAGTGACAACATTAATCAAGTGACAACTTNAAAAACTATAGTAAGGATGGATTAACAAAGAAGATAATTTAATCTATACATTGGTTTTGAAAAAGGGTCAAAATAACTCGTTAATCAAGTGACAACCTTAATCAAATGACAGCTTAAAGGATCAAATAAACGAGGGCACGCCAAGAACGCACAAACTTGCACAATCAACGAGGCAAGTCAGAGTGTCTTGACCGGTCAAACGGAGGGCACAGTCCACCTTTGAGAATGTGCCCAACTAGATTAATAAATGTCTAACTTCACGGTCTTATTTACCAAGCATGCTTTGAGCACACCCTAAACAATATGATTTGAAAGTTAACTCCTCGGTTCGACATCAAGCAATAATATGTGTTACCCATTGGAAGGAGAAGTGGGGATAGGGAGAATTGAGTTAAACACCAAAGAGTAAGGAGTTTAAGCGGGTTCTACTTTTTAGGAAAGGGGCAGATTAAGATAAGCCCAAGGAAAGGATAATCTCGAGCTTATCAAATAAATATTTGATTAAATTAGTAAACCTAATATGATTATACGAGAATAAATAGGACTTATCCGAACTCAAAAAGATATCTGACCAAAGAGGTCAACNATTAAATTAGTAAACCTAATATGATTATACGAGAATAAATAGGACTTATCCGAACTCAAAAAGATATCTGACCAAAAAGGTCAGTNGACTTATCCGAACTCAAAAAGATATCTGACCAAAGAGGTCAACCTATCAAAAGAGAAACCTAAGAAGGTCATAATGTTGAATAAGCCAAGGCTTAGGGTCATACAATACAAATATCAAAGAGTTCAACCAAATGAATCTTGTACTGATAATACTTTCTAATTTAGTCTACCCAATCTTTGGCAATTTGCTCGTTATTCTGGAGATCATGTTCCATACTCTTCTCACTGGTACAAAACCTACTTAGGTCAATTTACATATATATGATAAAGTACAAAGGATTTTCAATTCCCCCAACTTATAAAATCGTTTGAACGTCCCAGATCACTTTATTAATATTCATTGTTAATCTAACAGAAAAAATTAAGTCTCCCACATATATTTTCCCACTCATTAAATTTATCCCGCCAAAATAATTTCAGATAGAGATGTGAGGGATAAAGATAGGACTTTATCTCTTTTTAAGGTTTGAAAGCAACAGTCCCCAAGCCCTAGCAATTCTCTGTCACACGGTCTCTCCACTCCCCCAACTCCCAGTCATGTTTCTCTTTCTCTTTGTGAGATCAAAAAATATATGAAGTATTGACACATTCGGCACTGACCAAGAAAGCATTGGCATAGGTAACTCTTTCTCCTCACTCTCCTCTAGCATCGACCATATTATTTTTGNTCGGCACCGGCCAAGAAAGCATTGGCATAGGTAACTCTTTCTCCTCACTCTCCTCTAGCATCGACCATATTATTTTTGGGAATCAGAATTTTTTTGTTCTCATAATTTTTTGTGTTCTCTCTCACCTTCCCCCAGCAACCAAGACATACACTGATTAACATGCACACCCATCTTTCCCCATTCTCTCTCTCACTCGATGCCACATCACCCCCTCTCTGCCCTCTTCCTTCTCTACCCCAACACAAATCCACCATTGCACGCATATCGCTAAACACACAACACCTCCTCGTAGCACCTCTGCCTTAATGAACATCAACAACATTGCACCCCTCTGCCTTAGCTTCCTCCTTTTTGATAATCAATTTAATCATTTGATTGTTGATTTTGTAATTTACTGTTTATTTTAGTGTTTAAATTGGTTTTGGAATAACATATTTTTCAATTCTGCAATATGTTTCCCATCTTCTTCATCAGCACTCTTGGCCTCCATTGGCAAGGAAACTAACCCCGATAATTTCGTCTTCCCCGTTTCTGCTATTTTCATCCTCTGCCCCAACGCAAATCCACCACCACATGCACTCCACCACACACATACCACCAGGTATTTCACAATGGCCTAAGTTGATTTTCCGTGATCGAGTTACTTATATATTTGTAATGACTTTGAGCTTCAATAATTTGAGTTTAATCGTACCAATTTCTATTGCAATCAATTGACATACAATGGGGACTCAGAATATTTTAATGTTGTAATATCATTCGTATAGATTTGAAATACTTTGTAATGTTGAATAGAGCATTCGGTCAACGTATTATATTAGAAAGGCTTTTGTGAAAGAAAATAAAAATGTTTATGTATTATGGACTATTATGACTATTTGATCTTACAATTTTCGTTCTTTCAGTTTCTTTATATNTGAAAATAAAAATGTTTATGTATTTGTGGACTATTATGACTATTTGATCTTACAATTTTCGTTCTTTCAGTTTCTTTATATGTGATCTTACATGCTCCTCATCTTACCTGGTCAGCTTGATGAAGTCTATCAAAAGGATTTTTATAAAGCTTGGATATTCTCAAGTTGCCATTTGGAGAAGGTTGCTTGAAGGCAACGGTTTCCTAAGTGAAGATAAGGTGGGATTTTGACAAATTCGATTTAGGATAAAAGAATCATATTTGGTTTTCTCCTCCATCATCACGGCAGCAACTAATCAATGTTTGAGAGGAGTTTGGCGTAGATGTAATTTGGGACCAGATATCTCTAGTTTTCCATCTCTTTACTTATAGGTTGTTGCCATCAAGTTTGTGTTTTCGATGGTTTTTTTACATATAATCGGTGGAGTTTTGGAACCCGAAGAATGACAGTTTTTTACATTGTGCTTAACTTATTTATTTATGGTGAAATATGCATATATAATATGCAGCTGTGAACTTTGTTGTTATTATATAAATGTACTTTTGGTTTGGATTATGTAATAGTTGTGATGTAATATTTTTTTTAAGTTAGATTATTTAATTTATGGCTGACATTGTATACAATTGGTCTGTGTTTGCCAATGATACTTACATACAAAAGTATTGAAAGTATTGTTTAGGAACTGTCGTACTCGTAGGTGATTTTTATGTGTTATGAANGCTTAAAATAAAAGCCGCAACTAGTTGATGAGTAGCCAGAGGGAAAAAAAAAAAAAAAAAACCCAACGAGAATATCAGTCGGGTATTCCATGATCTTCGTTAGAGCACCCGAAAGACGTCTCATGACTGTGTGGATGTGCGTGAGAAGATGGAGAGAGGGATTGAAGTGTTACCACAACTTCAACAACGTCCAAGGGGGACTTTTGGGCCTTGAGAGCAGCGACCCCGACCTCTAGACAATGGCGGAGGGCGGCCTCTCGGGGCTCGCGGCGTTCCTTTGGCAGAGTCAGTGGAATGTCGCCGGCGCCTCCGTGTAATGCGATTGCCCACCCCATCTCCACCACCAACCCTGCTCTCTCTCTCTCTCCCTCTCTCCCTCTCTCTCGCTCTCTCTCTCTCGTATTGGACGGACAAAAGCCCCTGCGCTGCAGTGTAATGTCGCAAAAGTCAACTTACTTTCACCTTTTCGGAACAATGTTAGTGGGACCACGTAATTTAAAGAATTAATGATTATATCGATTAAATTGTTGGTCGATTTTAACATTAAATTATTATTGGGTCTTAATACTATTAATTCAATAATTATAATACATTAAATTTTTAAATTATGTTTCAATGACATTAGTAATTAAAGAATTCAATTAAAAAAAATTATATATATAATCCTCAAACTATTATGTTTATGTCAATTAAGTCCTTCAATTTTTTTGTATCAATTCAATCTCCAAACTCACTAATTATGTCAATTAAATCATTCTATCTGTCTTCATTAAAAAATCTAACGGAAAGCAGCAATGCATCACTCACATGACTGAATTATGATTCATTTGTGCCATATGAGTTGCATATTTTGTCATTTTTTATTAAAAAATATAACGGAAGCAGACAAGAGTGTTTAATTGAAGCAATTAGAGAGTGTATGAGTTCAATTGACTAAAAAAAATTAAAAAATTAATTGACATAAAAATCATAATTTAGACTTCTTTGTCAAAAAAGATGACAGCATTGAAAAAGAATAATATGTAATTAATGTCAAAAACCACCGACTTCATTCTTAACAATAGGCGTCTAACTTTTCAAAGCAAATTTATCTCTTATCCCTTAACTGTCAATTTCATTCTTTCTTCTTTAAGTTTTACGCTCTGTTTGGTACGATGAAAAAATGAGAGGATAAAAAGTTGAAATGATGAAAAGTTCGAGAGATAAATAAAACATCTTGTTTGATAAGGAATAAAAGTAGAAATGATGGAAAACTGGATGAATTAAATTTCCTTCCAACTCACCAAAATCAATTATTCCAAAATCGAAAAGAAAATAGATGAAAAATTAATTATTTGTGTTGAGATGTATCTTATTTGTCTATATATCTTATGTATACATTAATTTCATATAAAAATATAATGGTAAAATATGTATATATTTTAAAAAATTTTAAAAAATTAAAAAAATTCATAAAAATTAATAAAATTCAAATTTTAAATTAAAAAATATATTTTTTTTCCATTAAAGGTGAAAATTTGCGACTCAACACGATAACACGACTCGAACTCGATACGAAAATAATCAAGTCAACTTGCAACTCGACACGACACAATTAATTAAATTAGTTAAGTTAGGTTTGATTAATATTTGACATAAACTCGTAATGACTCAACATGAATCTGACATGACACGACTCGACTCAATTGTCACCCCTAGTTTTAGCTAGCACAAAAAAAAATAGTTATTTTTATTTTTCATCCATCCAACCAAACACAAAAGAAAGAAAGTGTGTTCTTCTTACTTTCTATCCTTGAAGGATAGAAAGTGTATTCCTTCTACTTTTCATTCTTCTTACTTTTCATCCTCCCTACTAAACGGAGCGGAGCATTAGGGTTCTCCAATTTGAGATTCTCTCTCTCAATTGCCCTTCACTAGAATTCATCCTTGCTCTCCTCCTTTCGCCTCAGTCAAAAAATTACCACATAAAAGCTCAAATCCGCAATTCGTTGAATATGGGTAGACCTCCACCTTGAATTTAGGAATTATTAGATGGTAGTATTGTGATATAGCTCTTGCTATTATGAATTCTCGAGTACATGAACCACGTTATGCACTTTAAGACATATAATATTTTTATTCAGACCTCAACCCAGGCGTCTTTGATAATCTAACTTAAGTTTTAAAACTGAACACTTTCAGTGCTTAATTAATTAAGTTTGTTTGATAACTCAATATTACAACTCCTTAATAAAATAAGTGTCACTTAAATGCAAGGCAAAATTTTAAGTAGCTCTTTACCTACTTAATATTGAAGACTAAATACGCTCAACAACTAGGTTTTTTAATAAAATTTTATTTGACAAATTTACCCCAATAGTTTCACAACCCTATTGCATATCTCCTTCATCGCCTCTGCATCTTCTCCACAATCTCAAAATTCTTTGTTGCCTCTGTCAGTGCCATCCAACAAACATAAGTATGTTCTTCTTATCTTCTTCCTCCATTCTTCCTCTTTTCTTCTTAATACAACAACACACAAGCAAAAACGTGAACGAACAAACAAAATTTTTTTTGCACTCTTGGGATGATTCTGATGAACAAAAGTAAACGAACAAACAAAAAAAATGATTTTTCACCGACTACCCAACTGAAAAAAATCCATCAACTGCCCNTATCTCTTCCATAGATGATGTGCCTTCATCTGCACCTCTTGGCTCCTAATCAAATTCTGACGTCGTGGATCACACTCCACGTTACCCTCAGCGCACCCGGAAATGTCCTGACAGGTTTGGTTGGTCCAACTCTTGTTACGCTTCTGATTTTTATTTTTTTCTGACTTCTATACATTCTCTGTCTGAACCCACCTCCTATAAGGAGGCTATACTTGATCCTCTTTGGCAACAGGCTATGGATGAGGAACTTTCTGCNTGAAAAACAAACCTTACATATCTTGTTACTCTTTTTTTTGGGTATTAGTTAATTGTCTTGTTTTCTTCAATTCTTGTAATCATCAATTTTTTTGTATACTAGTGGGTCATAATAATAATTTGACAATGTTAAACAACATCATATAGACTAATATTTTGTTAAAAAATGGTTATTTATGGATGGTTTCTAATGATGGTGCTAGAGCAAATTGGAAGGATCCAGATTTGCTTAAAATCTTTAATGATTTGTGTCTACAAGAATCATTTGATAAAGGAAGAAATGGAGGTACCCTGAAAAAAGAATCTTGAGATTATATAAGGGTAGCTTTAAAGGAGCGAAAGAATGTTGACTTCTCCTAGAAACAATTGAAGAATCAGTGAGAATATCTAAGAACAAAATATGGAATATGGCCAAAAATAATATCAAAAACTGAAAATGGTTATGATCCAGAAACAAACACTGTAAATTGGAGTTCAACAGAATGGGAAGAGTATATAAAGGTATTATTTTATTCATTGTTAATTATTCTTACAAAACTATACCACAAATAATTATTGAGCTTTTTTATATTTTTATGTCACTGGCTAATCCAGATGCAAAGCAATTTCGCTATAATGGACTACAGTATGCAAATGAGTTAAAAGTTTTGTTTGATGGTTTTAGAGCAATTGGAAAAAATTCATGGAGTCCATCAAAGGAAGGGTTGTCAATGGATATGGTCAGCTCATAATCACAAACACCGATTAATCTTGACGTTGAATCTGTTGAGATACCTTCTTCACCAAAAGATGTGACAAAACAAGACAATAAACGTCAAAAGAAAAGTAAACATAGTGACTTTGATGAACAACTATTTGAAGCTCTTAAGACATTACCAAATGCTGACGGATCAAGTATAGAAGAATGCAATCGTATTTTGGATGAGATGCAGCTTTTTGAAATGAGTGATCCATTGTATGATGTTGCGTGTAGTGGTTTTTGTGAGAGTAAAGCATACAGAGAGTTGTGGATGTTATTACGTCAAAAACCAAAAGTAGTTAGAAAGACATGAATAGAAATGAATGGCAAGAAACTAAAGTTGCTTTGAATTTTAGGAATTACTAGAAGTTACGAGTATTATTTTTATAGGAAGAATGTATGACTATTTTGAATGTGAAAGATTGTTTAAATTTATTTGTTTTATAATTTTTGCTTAAGTATGTTATTGTTGAAATTATCTGTAGTGGTTTTTGAATGTTGATTATTTTGGAAGTTGACATACATAGGTAAATTGTCTTATATTGGACTAATTAGATTTTATTAATTTTGTCTAACAGCATGTTGTCTGAAAAATAGAAGCGTGCATTGAAGGTTGTTGTAACTTCTTTGATATTCAAAATATAGAGGAAAAAACGTGTTGCACTGAGGCCAGAAACTGATGGTTTGCTTCATGGGTCTGGATATTTAAATGAAATACTTGATGGAAATCTAAGTCATTGTCAAGAGATGTTAAAGATGAAAAAAGAAGCTTTTATAATTTTATGTGGTCATTTTCGAAATAGAGGGTGGCTTGAAGATAGTCGTTATGTATCCATAGAAGAAAAGATGGCAATGTTTCTCATAACATTGAGTCATAACATACGAAATCGTTTTGTGAAATGAAGATTCAATCATTCAACACAAACAATACATAAATACTTTCATGAAGTATTAGATGCAATGCTCCATTTTTCAAAAGAGATGATTGTCCCAACAACTACGAATTCAGTTAATCACATAAGTCATCACTGTCGGCTCAGAGGAATATTTAAGGTATTTTTTTCGTTTTATTTTAACTTTATAGGATATATAATGATTTACAACTTTTTAAAATTCTAACATTTATACTAACATATTTATTTTTGAAAAGGTGTGGTGGGTGCACTTGATGGAACTCTTATTTCTGCTGTTATACCACCAGATGAACAAGTTCCATACAGAGGAAGAGACAAAGGAGAATGTTTTCAAAATGTACTTGTTATATGTGATTTTGACCTTGTATTCACATTTGTATGGGTAGGTTGGGAAGGGGTAGCACATGACTCAAGAGTTCTAAAAGAAATTATGAGTGATCCAGCTAATAATTTTTCAATTCTTCCTCCAGGTTAGATGAAAATATTTAAATAATGTTACAAAATATTTTTTTAGATAATTTATTTTATATTATTCGTGCAGATAAATACTTTTTATGCGATGCGGCATATACACATACACGTGAATTTATATCACCCTATTGTAATGTGCGATATTGGTTGTCTGATTTTCAAAAGAGGCTATAGAAAGCTAAGGGAAAGAGGGTAGAGGAGCTCCTAAATGTCCTTTGGTTTTTACAAGACGACCCCATAGACCTCAACGGGGGAAGCACCTTATGCCCTTGCCTACAGAGTAGAGACGGTTATCCCATTGG